TTTTACAATTTTTCAGTCACCCGGCCGATTTCACTCCAGTCAGCACCACAGAACTCGGTGAGGTCGCTCGTCGAAGTAAGGATTTCGAAGAACGTAATGTAAAAGTGCTCGGTCTTTCAGCCAATAGTTTGGGTGATCACGAGAAGTGGGTTGAAGATATCAACGAAGTGAATGGCGTCCATCTTAACTTCCCCATTATTGCCGATGCTGAGCGTCAGGTTGCCGCATTATATGATATGTTGGACCATCAAGATGTTACTAATGTTGACACTAAGGGTATTCCGTTCACCGTCCGAAGCGTATTCATTATTGATACGAAAAAGACTATTCGTCTTATTCTATCTTACCCTGCTTCAACTGGTATAAATTAGGCCGTAATTTCGATGAAATTATTCGTGTTATTGACTCCCTTCAACTCGGCGACAAACACCGATGTACCACTCCCGCAAACTGGAAGAAAGGTGAAGATGTCATCGTCCATCCCAGTGTTAGTAATGAAGAAGCCAACACTCTGTTCCCAGGTTATAGAACCATTAAACCATATCTTCGACTTGCCAAATCACCTTTCTAATCCGTGAACCGGCAAACTCAATGATCATGAGAATTAGCTAAAGAATTTTTATAAGATTTAAATTAAACACTTAACAAAATATTGTATAATTGTATTTCAGAATTAAAATCATTCAAGATTGTTTAATAAATTTTTATAAAAGTGCGATAAATGAAATGAGTTATTGTTGTTTTATGTTAAATAGAAATGTGTAATTATAGAGAATTCTCTTCAGGGTCTACACACTTGAAACCGAGCTCGGAATCTTAATTTGATCGAATTGATCGAGAATTAGTAGATGCTATATGAATTTAACAGATTACGATCTTGTTAACAGGCTTAGATACCGATGTATGAAAATCGATTTATGGTATTAGATTTTCTTTTTCCATTCTTGTACTCAATTTTGATTCTGCCCCATTGATATCAAATAAAGTTATGTTTGTTACATTTACTCCTCAAAAAATTCATATGTTAATTGTACAACGGTTTCCAAAAAGAATGCAACACCTGTGTATAGATTTTTAATTACATATATTTCATGTAATTTAAACTCAAATAAATTGAAACTAAGCTTTGTTATATGATTTATATAAATTTAACTATTTTTTTTGAATGCCAATGTAAATCTTATTCTTTTTTGGAAATATTATATAGTGTATGTTATGGATATATAGAATATATTAAGATTATTATAAAAGATAACCTGTTAGAATTGATTAGATGTAATGATATTAGTTTTTGCCATGTAAATTATTGTTATTCTTGCATATTATACTTTTCAAAAAAAAAAAATATAGTATATAAGAAAATTTAATTTTTAAGATTTATTTAACAAATTTTTTATATTATTTAATATAAGAATACTTGAAAAGCAGTTTTTAAATTAATCATAAAATAAAATTTTTTAAATATTATTTATTGTTAATATATACAGTTCATCTAAAAAATCTTTGGACAAATATTTTTTATAATAAAAAAATAAATATTTAATTATTTGCTATAAAATTTTAAAGATATATTTTTTAGAATGTAAAAAATAAAATAATAAGTTTTTTTTAATACTTTATTAATAAATTTATCTTAAAATTTGATTTTAAAATTAAAAAAAGTCTGTTTAAAAATTTTTTATAAGTTTTTATATATAAATTTATATATAAATTGTGGATGGAAAAATA